CACACCCTGTATATGTATATACATATATACCATAATTTGTTTTTAATGATATATTATGTTTAAAAAACACTAATTAATACATTTTTTTCAGAGAATATTGACGTTCCTTTTTCAACAATATGTGCGTGCGTGCGTACACACATTAAATTATTAGAAAAGGAATGTTAATTCTTTCATTTTCTCTGAAAAAATGTATTAATTCGTGTTTTTTTAAATATAATAAATAAATAATAAATAATAATTAAAAAACATTATTTTTAAGATAACCCTAAATACAAATATATTATTAATTTATATACTACGTAGAAAAAAGTCACGAGATAAGTCAAGAAGACCTCATTTTGACGTCTTTATAACGTCACAAAACCGTATTTACCAAGAACTATAATAACGTCATCATGACTGATACAACTATGACTTTTAAAAGATGTCATTTTGACATCATTTTGACTTATATGTTCTCCTTGGGACATTACATTTAGATTTTCAGTGTCTGTTTGTAAATTAATCGTATTATCGGTCTTTTAAATAAAGAACATTTCGGCGATTTCGTTATTGTTGATTTGCAGTATTACTCGAAAAGGACCCAAAAATAGGGTCGAAACGTTGTGTAATAAATCGATTAAATAATTAGCCAGTTGGGTGACTATTGGTTTCCCGTCTCATTTCTAATCATTATTGGTGACAATAAGCAAACTCTCCTTCGCCAATATTTTTAGATTGCACAATTGATGCTGTTAACGCCAAGGAAAGCTAAAATCTTTTTAGCTTTTTCCACTTGACGCTACAATTCAAAAAAGTCCCCAAAGTAACTAGTTTGACGCTCAAAGTGAGCGTCAAGCGTCAGCATGAAAATGCACCTTAAGTTCTATGCCGCCACCTAATTTCCCCTCACCGCGCTCGCTTGGGTCCCCTCGTCCTAAATCCTACCTTACACTCCGTCCATATATTCTTACGTCCATGGCTCAGACGCTCCTATGTAAAGGCACCTTAAAGGCCTTAAAGCGTTCCTGCATCAGAAACAGCGAACTTCACAGATCACTTCAGATGGTGGAAGATACAAACACAATGGTGTATACACAATGTCAAGTGTGCCGGGAGAACACTTTCAGAATTGACGGTAGATTAAACAATAACAACTTGACTTATTGACTTTCCTTTAAACTTGAGCAGTTTTCCGTGCAAATTAAAGTTACGTCGCTGTAGAATCGATATAGTTATTAAATATGCAGATGTCACTTCTCAATCTTCGTATAGGTTAGGTTAAATTCACAATATTTATGTTTCTTCAATACCCGTGTCTTACATATCGCTAAATACTTTACAATGGTGTCAACGCGAGGGCTCAAGTTCAAATTTTCCGACGGCGAGAAAGTGCTATGTTACGAACCAGACCCCACGAAAGCGAAAGTGCTATACGACTCGAAGGTAGCGTACATACATTGCTAGACATATATACATACACTTTGCATTTAATTTACATTCTTAACGATAGTATTGTTGTGCACGTGCGAATATAATATAAAATGCAAATTTAATGCCAAACTTGCCAAGAAATATCGATACATTCTTACAAAGAATGGGATTGCATAAGTAGAGGTAACCGGAAGTTATATAAAAAAGATTTTAGAAATATATAAATTTATTTACATTGCGTACACAAGAACATATACGTAACTCTGTACCTTAGGTTCACAGTTGGAGCTAACGATAAAATTGTTTGCAGGTACTTGATGTTATCATAAATAAGGATCAAAGAGGTAGAAAAGCAGTGGAATATCTCATACATTTCCAAGTGAGTTAGAAATAAATTTCTTAAAGCTATTTAAAATTATATAAATTGTATTAAAAAAATATAAATATGTTTTATCATTGTGTAAGGGTTGGAATTCGTCTTGGGACCGTTGTGTAACGGAGGAATATGTGCTCAAAGATACAGAGGAAAATCGTCAGCTTCAACGAGATCTAGCACAAAAGGCGCAGCTGCAGCTGTATGTACTCCCAAGATTGCTCCAACAGCTGTACAAATTTAATAATTTACTGTAAACTGACGTACTATTTTATTGTAACAAAACAGCGGTGCTTATTTGTATCGCCGTGAACGCAAGAAGAGAAGCCACAAAATGTCAGAACGCTTGACCGAGACGGAGCATCAAGAACCTCGTCGTAGAGCGAGAAGCGGTGGCAGCAGAGCTACGTCGGCTACAACCGGGTCTTCCGAGGATGGCAGTTCAGGCCAACATGCTGATTATGATACAGAGGTGTCTCATTTTCAAGTTGCCAAATTGATCACATGTTTTTGAATTTTTACAACATAATAGAAGGAGAAAAAACAATCGTTAAAGAAAACTTTAATAATATTTGTGTCAAGCTGATTAGCTATTCCGTCGTAAAGTGGCGTTGTTTCCCCAATGTTGCCACATGAGAGGCTCGAATTCCATAGATATTGGAGATCAAAGACTGTGAGAGTTCATAAAATTACACATGTAACAGGAATCACATATGTTTACAGGAAGTAAATACAGAAGAAGATACTGAAAGTAGTTCTGATTACATGGGTGAGACGAGTGACGATGAAGATAGTGGCGGTGGCAGCCAATCTGGAGCCAGTATGAAACCAGGCATTGATCTTGATATAGGTAGCACGTTAAAACGGATTTTAGAACAAGACTGTGACCTAATAGCTAATAAAAATAAGGTAAATCAATAAATAGTTTCCGGATTAATAGATATGTAAGCTACAACGCATTAATGTAAGATGAAGTCTTGAAACAATTAAGAACCATTGTATGTACTTATATTTTATTTAAATTTTACATTTAAATGAAAAATTATACAAAGGATTATGACTTACATTAAAAAGTAATCCACTCCCTAAAGGAAAAAAATCAGGTAAGTATATCGTTTTATATTTTTTTCAGCTTGTCGTGCTTCCGGCACAGCCTACTGTGATAAATATCCTAGAATCCTGGGTGCAGCACTTCACTACGACGCAATTGACGAATATCCCAGAGAAACCTCAGCGGAATAAAGCAAATAATACGATAGAAAAAACAGTGAGCGAGATAAACATGTGCAGGGAGGTCGCGGACGGCTTACGCATATACTTTGACTTCACATTACCTCATCTCCTGTTGTACAGGCAAGAAAAGGAGCAGCATTGCTCCCTAAAAACTTCCTTGTTAAGCAACGACCAAGCAACCGTCCTCCCAAAGGAGGAACTAATTGAGTAAATACATATATATTTTTCTTTATACCAATAATAATCGAATTAAAACTTTGTTAAGAGTCCTATATGTAGATCTGCTGTTTCCATCAATGAAAAAAATCTATGTTGTAAGAAATTTAGAAATACCCACGAAAGAAGAATTTGAGGATACGGAATACGCTCATTTGCCACCCTTTCAAGAGCATGAGTCGGAGATGGACAATACATCTAAGCCGTCGGGCAATTCTAAGCGAAGATTGCGATCGTGTCGTGTAAGCTCAGTCGACGAAAGTCGACAATTGAGATCCTACGACGAGGGAAAGCAGGACGGCGGCAATTTATCAAGGTAACAATCAAATGGTTCTAAAGCTCCATCTTACAGAAACTTTATAAATTTATTTATTTCAAAAAGTTTGAAAACAACTCTTCTAGTTTCTTGGAAGATTTTTGTTTTTCCTTCGTTAGAATAAATTGCATAACTCGACGAAAATTATTGCTTTCTCTGAATTTTATTCTTTGTTTGAAATTAGATATAACATTTTTATGATTGTTTTGTTTTAGTAGCATAGCAAGTACAAGTTCCCGTTGTTCTAGCCCGCGAGGTGTAACGTTAAGAATGCCGCCTGTTGTTACATCCGCACAAGTAAACAGTTTACTTCAACAGTCTAACAAGTGGAGGTTAATGCCTCCAGTTCCGAAGCAAAACGAAACTCCAAGTCCCTCTACTTATTACGGTGCCATTCACTTAACTAGATTATTCGGTGAGTTGTACTTTATTTGACGAAAACACATGGTACATGTTGTGCGTGCAAAATTGTAACATCATCTAAAAACATCTACATGTAAAGAAGTAATAATGTTTAATTTCAGTTAAATTACCCGAGTTGTTGCAATCTGCAGATATACCAAGTAAAAAATTGAAAGTACTTCTGAAATATTTGGACATGTTTTTGAGGTACGTGATGCGAATTACAGTAGGGTGAATTTTTTCGCAACTAAAATAGTATGGTGAATCGTGAAAAGTATATTAATAATGTAATATGTTTGCAGTTATTTGGAGATGCACAGGGAATGGTTCGGAGAACAATTTTATTTTCAAGTGGAAAATCGAACGATATCACAAACTAGTAATGTGTAACAATATTTTATATTATATATAATTATACATATATATTATATATGTGTTATATATACATATATATGTATGTACACACAAAATGACATGTACATCGCTTCCCCCAATTGTATAATACTCATCAAGTATGCATGACTTGTATGTACATTAAGGATCTTTTTTGAAACAATATGATATTTTTCTACCATGTTTTTATATAAAATTACGTTGTGCGTTAGTTACGACGCAAAATTAACGATAAATAAGTAAAAATCCGAAGATTAAATGTGAAATCTGAAAGTAGCGAGTTGAAGATCAATTCTCAACATCGCAAGAGGGCAAATATCTTTTTTTTTTCTTTGACATTGTAGCCGCGGTCCACTTGATGCTACAAATCAAAGTGGTGGTGTGCAAATGCATTCCTTTTAATACAGAAAGATTTTTTTCTTATGTTTAAGTGCCATTATTACCGTTACGGTTAAATTTGAGCAACACTGAAGGCCAGGATCAAACAGAGAGTCCTACCATTACTAATCGCTAACTCGTAAGATCGAGGTACACGTCATCCCATTGATACAGAAAAAAGGAAAGCGCTTTGAGGTACTTGCAACATCAAGTAGACCACAGCCTATACATATATATGTATTAACAATAGACAATTTAGTATCAAAATTTGATATATATTTTTTGCGATTTTTATCAAACATTTTTTCCTTATGTTTTAATATATATTCAGATGTTAAGAAAGAAGAAAAAAGGAAAATCAATACAAGAATAAATCATGTAGAAAGGGAAGAGTACCAATGTGAGCCACAAATGAACAGAAAACGGTTCTCACAAATTAGAAATATCTATTATGATTTTGCATAAACCAGTTACGATTTTGCATAAACCAGCCTTAAATCTATCGTCTGTTGTTCAAACTTTTTTTTATTACTCTCATTTTCTCATAAACATTTAGATAATGGAAAGGAAGAACAAACAGAACGAATAAGATAATAAATCAGCTGAGAAGAATAAATATCTGTTATTTAAACGAGAAGAGCCCTTTAATCGCACTTTGTGCACTTTCTCTTCCTCATCTTTCTCTCTTCAATAGCTGCGTTCGGCATTATACATCTAAGGTAGCGTTCGAGAAAACTGGGACTACGTTTCCACCGAGGGTCAGACCGTCAGAGTCCGGCGCGCTCCTAGCGCTTGAGCGGCAATCCCCACTTTCGGTACCATCAGTGAACTCTATACATACTGGAATGAGTGATCTATGGGCTTGTTTTCTGTTCCTGCACTGGTGAACTAGTGCAGTAAGCTAGAATGAGAAAAAATATACTTGTCTTACTCCAATTTATTGCACTAGTTCACCAGTGCAGGAACAGAAAACAAGCCCTATAGTTCTGGCCATGGTGGGAGGGATAACATGGTGTGCTCAGTTCGGCTAAACCACGCCCATAGAACTTATAAACATGGAAGGGGAATAGCATATACTCTCCGTAAGCTGAAACTGAGTCCAACATCTGTGTGACAAGGATAGATAGAAGATGACTTTGGTCCGTTATGCGCATGTGTTAAATCGTTTTGCGCATGCGTTATTGTAATCTCGTTTTGGCCGCGCATGCGTATTTCGAGGAAAAGTCATAGAACGAGACAGAATTCTAGTTTCTTCTGTCTCACTTCTTGGCTTCACTTGTGCCGATCCGTTTCCCCTTCCATGTTTATAAGTTCTATGACCACGCCTACTTTTGCTTTGCGACGCATAGACATCTATGGACGGACCCTTTGTACGAGGGGTAACTGATAATCGCGGTAAGGGGATCACTCGTCTGACTTCGACTCTTTCCGGTGAGATTCGGTAATATTCGGTTCACATTTCCAATACGTGTGCACACGTATATACGGCGCGTTGCTTGTGTGCGAGCGTGCGCGCGCGCGTGGCCGAACGAATCATCCCCTCCAACTTGGAGTGGGGATGATCCTGGATGGGGATTGGAAATGTGAACCGAATATTACCAGTCGATGTCAGATGAGTGCCTCCGCGCCCCGAATATCAGAACCCCTCTTGTCCAGAGTTGTAGCTAATGCTCCGTCTATAGAAGTTTATGATGTCAGATGAGTGCCTCCCGCGCCCCGAATATCAGAACCCCTCTTGTCCAGAGTTGTAGCTAATGCTCCGTCTATAGATGCCTATGTTGCGACCACAGCATAGACATATAAGTATACATGGTGGAAATAACAAGGTGAAGCATTCCCGATGCTGCGCACTCGTTCAATTTTGTAAGCCAATCATCGCGCGACCCATTTTGCAAGGAAAGTGATATGGCTGATTCCATCAGCGCCTGTCATATCCATCACGTCGTTTGATGTTTACGTCCTTTCTTTAAATATTGCATGAAAAAGAAGTGAACAAAGCTACATATGCAATAAGTAGTAAATATAATTAATGTTGAGATATCATATTACTTCATGTGTTTAATAATATGTTTAATAATATAAAGTGGGCGCCTACAAAATGGGTCGTCTTCTGATTGGTTTAACCGTCAAAGCTGCCGCCATTATGCGCAATGCTTCACCTTGTTATTTCCACCATGTAAGTATATACTAGACTGATAGGCTCCTTATACATATATTCCCTAGATTGAGCGTACCTGAAACCTATGTATTTGCGGACGCATAGGCGTCGGACTTAAGGCCTTTGCACGTAAAAAAGCATTAACCGTAACCGTAATTTTAGTCCATAACCTACGGACCCTACGTAATTTTAGTCCGTAACCTTAGGAATTTTACTTGGGTTGCTCCATCTGTCTGTACGTGTTGAAAACTACGATTACGGACTAAAATTACGGTTACGGTTAACGCTTTTTTACGTGCAAAGGCCTTTAATAACCGATTGGGATGAAATTGAGTCCTTCGCCTATGGGTTTAAACACGTACGTAGTATACATGTGTATACCTAACCTAACCAGTGTATACAACAACGGTGATAAGGTGCAATTTCATACGTCGCTAGTCACTAGCGATGGACGTGTCACGTGGTACTATCGTCGTCGCTAGCGACAAGAGGATATACGAGTATACATAAAATTTTAGAGTTTCTCGCAATGGCAACTAATCAGGTAGGTAATAAATAAATTTAATAAATAGCAAAGTTTAATTAATTTGGAGAATTAATGTAAAATACAATCGTTTGGATAATCTCTTCTGTGTTTAACCTCACTTTTTGTTACTTGTCAATTATCAACTGAAATGCAGAAAATACAAAAAATAGTAATTTTATTGATTAAATTGTTTTGAATGAAAATGTAATTTTTAATGCTTTTTAGACTATAGTAGTGCCAAAAGTTGTATTGTGCGGCTTATGCAAAAGCGAATGCAATTTTAATAAAATTGCTTCTCATTCTTGTATGGCTGGATACAAATTTCTTATGTGAAAAAGAGTCACCGTATGTTATTAATAACTTCTTAATTTTTACTTCTCAAAACCTAAATACTTTCACAAAATTCAAAATTTTCCAAAAATCGAATATAATAATTATCAATAACATTAAACTAAATTTTGAAATTCACCTTTCACTAAACACCTTTCAAGATATAAATATTTCACAACTTTGAGGTTACAAAATATCGCTTGAACTCTTTTCATAGATCAACAGAGTTACCAGCGACAAAAGTATGACGGCCAATCATGTATCGAGAAATCCAGCGACGAGCGACGCGTGAAAAGGCACCTTTACAGACTAATATATCGTGTTAATATAAAAAGAAAAGAAGAAAAGTTAAAATGACAATACGGTGTGCAGTGAAAGATTGCAATAATATTTATAAAAAAGGATGTGAAATACATTTCTTTCTGTAAGTGTACTCTTTCTGTTGACACATGTTTGAGGTTAATACATACATATTAATACGTTATATAAATTGTATTGTAATATAGATTTTATATATATCTTATATAT